CCAAAGGCGGGCGGAATACCGAGGCGTGCAGAGAGGCGAGGCCGACGGGCAGCTTGGCGGCCGCCACAGCGAGCGCCACTGCTGCGACAGTGCTGCTGCCGCAGATGTCTCTTGCCGTGCCGCCTGGATCGGACTCTTCGAGCAAGCAATGGGCCACCGCCAGCCAGACGAGGAAGCTGCCTGACTTTTCGAGAAGGGTATTAGTGATGTCAGCGACAGCGGCGCCGTCGACTTCGAAGTCGTGTACAGTCGCATCCGGCGCAGTCGACAGCGCAAAGGGCGGAAGTCCTGCCCGCCTCTTCAATATCGCCCGCACGCCCCGCGAAGCTACGGCCTGAGCATCAGCCTGTCTGTTCGCGTCCGAAGGGATATGGTGTTCCAGGGCACCCGTGACAGCCATGGCCGCGACAATGTCACCGTCGGGCGGAGAGGTGAAGATGATCTTGACCTGGTACGGGATCGCTTCGAAGCCCTAGCGAACACGGCGAGGACGTCGCCTCGAGCATCCACCAAGCCGCACTTGTCGAGCGCGTCGACGAGCAGCACGACGGTCTCGGACGAGGCGGAAGCGCCACCGTCAGCAGCGAATATTTCGCAGAGAAGGTCCGTGACGAGCCTAGAGAAGAGGAGGGACGGGCTACAGCGGAAGACACTGTCCGGGTCGCTGTTGGCGGCGTCCCTGACGGCGAGCAAGTGGCGCGCGAAGGTCAGGAACCTCTGGCAGAGCGAAAAGGCCATGGTCCGGATCAGAGTGTAAGCGGTTTTCAAACTCCGCAAGGAGTCGTCGCTATACAGCAAATGGCGGGGGGTGGTGGGAGACAGAGGGTGCGAAAAAAGACTAGCGGGCGGACTGAAAGCGACCATCCAAAAAAATTGCGACCGGCTCAGTCTACCGCAAGGTCGGCCCCTGGACATATTTATTGGGTGTGAGACAGACAGGCGGCGATGCCTACAGGGGCCAATGCTATACACCAAATCGCGGTGGGTGGTGGGAGACAGAGAGTGTGACAAAAGACTAGTGGGGGGACTGGATGTGACCAACCGAAAAACTTGCGACTAGGTCAGTCTACCGCAAGGTCAGCCTAAAAAACAAATTTATTGGGCGTGAGACAGGCAGGTGTGTTTGTACCCTGGCGATCATATGATCGCCCGGGGTACCAAATTTGTCCCTTTGTACCCCACAATCATATGGGCGATCATATGATCGCAGCCCACTCTGGCACCAGGATCAGGTTGTCGGGCTGCTCTCCAGCGCTCTGTGCGCGGCGGAGCCCGTCCTCGGAGCAGACCAACACGACGACATCGCATTGACTAAGGCCGGTCAGAAAGCCGCGCTCCCACTCTTCGCTATTATTGAGGCACTTCTTGTCCCAAAAAGCATTTTCGGAGGGATCGGTGGAGACTTGATCGACTGCTGGTCATGATCCTTGGCACTCTCTTGCGACGGGCTCAGCGGTAGCATGTTCTCGACACCTGATGCGCCCGTGACATGGCCGGGGAGGAACGGGAGTGGAGCGAGGGGAGCAGGCTGACAGCTCAAGTCATGTCACTGTGTAGGGGTCTGTCTGACACCGTGACTCAGCCACACCAAACACTACTCATGTTACCAGCGCTGAGGTTCGGGAATAGGAACGGAGGTGTAAACGCGAACTCCGGGACCGCCGCCGCCATAGAGCTCCACATCTTTGTGCTGTATATTATCCATTAAAAAAAAGGCCAAAAACTATATCCTTGCTCTCCCTTCCCATTCAGTCTCCTTGGTTTTCCTTGCACTACACCCCGCCACAGCTCAGCTGTGGATGATTGGAGGAAGGTGAAACACCTTGATTCGAATGGCCTTCTTAATCTCGGGAGCATGGTGGCAACACCTTTCACAGGCGCTTTGTATAGATAACGCCATGTTTTTCAGGGACTTAGATCCCAAACTAATCAGCCAGCCTCCGTCACACAGGAAGCGGCTGTGGCGGTGCTTTTTTTTCCCTCTCGATGTAATGGCATCCACCCTGGCTTCAACGTCTACCACGGCCCGTCCCGGACGACCCAGACGCTGGCGGCCTCAGCAGGTCAACCAGCAACTGCCCGGAAACGGTCCGTGCCACCGTCTTTACAGCTGTCTCCTCACCTGCAGCTCCTGTCTCCTCGGCGACTGCTCCCGAGGAATCGTGCAGACCGTTTCAGCCCAGTCCCACGCCAGCGATGAAAGTCAACTACGAGACAAACGAGTCGGGTACAAGCGGGTCAACAGAAGGTGAGCATATGGAGTTCAGACAGCACGAATACTAAGTGATTTCGAGGTACTGGGAGGAGCGCTTCTAAGCAAAAAGTTTCAGGCAATGATAAGTATTGCTGTAGCCATGCAATGTGGATGGGTTACTACACCAGCTTCCGTGAAGGATGTATTGCTTGCGGCAACTGCTGCTGCGCGGTCTACCATATCAGTGAACCTTTTGTCCAGATCTGCCTCCTTGTTTGCCAGTGCCTCCTTATCTGCGCAGGGTGACAATGCCGCCTTACCTCCACCACCCGCTCGCCCGTCCTTTTATTTTCTTTCTCCCCGCCGTGTGTTTCACGACTTCGTTATTAGAGAAATCACCACGGTAACCTTTCCTACCCCTTCCTTTCCTACTTTATTCCACTCGCCGCCACTTCAACCTACGCTCTGGCTTCCACCCTAACTGTTGGAAATTTTGTGTGCTCTCCTGCTGTGTTCCTTCTTGGGCTTTATTCCTGTGTTTGTGTTGACTTATCACGTTAGCTTGTGTATCTGTTTTCCTGGGAATTTCCCCTTTTCTGTTCATTGACTTTGGTGCGTCTTGTGTATCTCCACCACATCTGTCATTGACGTCTACCGCCGCCGGCTAAGCACCGCCGCTCAACACTTGCCTCGACGTCTCGGTCCTAGAATGTTTGGATTTATGATAAAAGTCAATTTGTTCCAATAGGATCTTTGGCTTCTTCTGCTATCACCTCTAATCACCTATGCCCCCTGCACTGTTCTAGTTCGCTTTGTTGACAATACCTTTTCAGGAGAGAGCTGGGACCCAGTCAACTAATGACAGCCGGCACGCTCCGGCAGTGCGAACTCCTCCTTTCTTGTCTGAATCGGGATGATTCGGAATCGCTGGCAGCAGCCTTGCTGGGAAACTTAGTGTGTGTTTTGTGCTGAGAATTCAATACCATTTCGTGCGTATAACAAACAACTCAGGATCTCAACTGCGCCGCCCTGTCAACAGCCACCAACACCACCACGGAACGACGTCAAGTGTGACGTTACGCGGGATGAAGAGCCATCAAAAGGGTCTTGTCACCATGCTTACATGGTGAGTAACAGGCAAACAGGGCCAACTTTTGGGAAATGGATAAAAGGCGACGAGACGCGTGACCGTGGCGGAAAACAGAGCGGAAAGTGACGAGGAGGTCTACAATAGTGGACAAAAAGATGAACATGCAAGCGTCGGGCTGTTTATACTCTTTTTTACGTCAAAAAAGGGACACGGTGCTGGAACGAAAAACAATTCATGACTTGGTGTACAACACCAAAGCTAATCAGTTTGCCGAGAAAAAGGTAATATATCCTTACTTATTCTCTCAATCTCTTCTTTCTCTTCTTTTTATCTTGTGAACCACTTTGTATACATCCTGGGATAATGTTCCTCCGTCTAATGGACTCGTTCCCGCACCTCGTCACATTCATTCCCCCCCTTCCTCCCTTTTTCGTATTCACCTCTCGGGCCAAACTAGTGCGCAGTTTCGCCTCAAAGCGTCAGGTATCTCCCACATAATCTTTCACACAGAGGCGTCCTCCACAAGGCGTCCGATACGTCGCGGTGAGCAGGGCTGCAGACATATCTGGAGGGTGCGGGTGGTCCGAAACCGCGAAAGAGGCGGCAATTTCGACTGCAAAGGAGCTGTTCGGAGTGGATGACTCTCGTTCGCTGGAATTGCAAAAAAATCATGTCTGAAGGGTGAGGAAAATTATGCTCGTTGGCAGGCTTATTAACGCACTCTTTCCGGTACAAGGGAGCGATGTAGCTGGCTTTCTCTCTGTCGACGCCGGCCAACGTCGGCGGCGTCGGCGACAATGATGTTGAGCGAAGAGGGCAGGTCGGCGTGGAAGGACTGGTAGGAGCAGCAGGTTGAGCAGGCCGTTGGGGAGAAAAGTAGGGAGAGATAATGAGGGAGGAGGAGAACACTCTGGACGCGGCTGGGAAACTTGCCCTCACGGACGAAGGTTTGCGTGCTTGCCCTCAAACCCGAAGGGCGCCAGAAAAAAAAATTTTTTGTAACTGGGTGAGCGAGATGGGCAAGGGAGTGAGTGCATGTGTGTGTATATACGGGTCACATTCAGCGGACTTCAACATGCTGGGCTGTGCAGCATAAAAGCTCGTGTTGGTACCCTTTTTTGGCCTTGAAGTCGAGTTGTACGCACCGAGCATTGTGTGATCATGTTTTTACGGTGCTTCTGCGTGGTGAATGTCAGTCCACTTCCTCCCGACCTTCCACTCCTTTTCTTGCCCACCCAGCCCCAGTCTCTTCCCCCTTCCACACACTCAACCTGAGGCACAATGATGAATGCAACTCACGCCGACATCGTCTGAATATGGAGTCGAATATGACCCACTGTACTCTTGTGCACCGATGGTGCTTGACGAAGACCTACATGTTCTGAGCCATGTCTCAATTGCTGCGATATCTCCTCTCCCGTCTTCCTTCTTACCCGCCCTCTGCCTTTCTCCTCTCCTTATTGCTTTCGGGTTTGTCTGACCTTCACTTGTTTTGTAATTGGATTTGGCCGACATTCGGAAAAGGTGATGTGTACAGCTCAGTCAAGTGAGGCTTTATGCGACCCGCCTCGATTTTAAACCCTCTCCACCTCTCCTTCTCCTGCAATCCTAGCTACGGTTACGACTTCCCCGATAACCGACATTTACCGGCATTTTTCCAAGCCTTTAAGCATTGAAATTGGTTTCGTTTTGGTTACCGATACGTTTACATTCGGTTGCTCTTGATCTTTGTGGAGCTTTAAACAATTCCCGACTGGTTAAAAGCCAGCTGCTCTACCATTGAGCTACAAGAACCCAAATTGTACGTTATTACATAGCATTTTACCATTAAACTACATCTCCAGAGTTCTGCCTTTCCGGACTGTTGGCCGCCCGCAACCCACGAGCAGCAACCGGCAGTGGCCATGGTCGTCGTATCCAGGTTTCCATCAGCAACATTTAAGAAAGCGCAACGGGCACGCAACGCCTTTTGCGTTGGCCTACCCGAGTGCAACTTAGTCGCGTGATCCACATAGGTCTATTTACACCGCACGTTCCCGTACGATGACCTTGTTATGACTTATGATCCATTGAGTCAGAACCAACGAAGTTTGACTCTATCGACCATTGACAGGCGGTTTGTACAGTCTCGAGATTGGTTAATTATTTACCAAATAATTCTAGCTTTTATTGAGTGAGTTGTAAGAAGGTTGGTAGGTTTTTCAGGAAGGAGACTCAAGTCCCTGTGTTATGACTGACTTGTATTATGTGTCTAGCCATTTACACTGGCCATAAGTGCCTGAAGGATTACCCTTCGGGTATGAGTAAGATCGAATCGGCGCCAAAGAAGCCTCCGTTAAGATCGGGTTGTATCTGATCGAACAAACCAATGGCTTTTGGTTCAGACGAGTCGTCCATCATGAGAGTCGTGTTTCGGCTAACAAGGTGACTGGCTACCGACATCCAGATATCACCTCCCAACACATACTCTCTCTCTCTCTCTATCCCTCTGTGCCTATCACACTCACCTTTCGCCTCTTCAGGTTAAAGAGTTTGTCACACCTATTGCGCCATGCTTGCGACATGCATTTGACAGGATGGTTTGAACACAGCGACGGCACACAGCAGCACGCCATCGTCGTTCCGACGAGTCCTCCACGCCGTCGTCGCCTTGCCGTGGCGAGTTTCACCGCCGTCGTAGGCGTTCCCCTGCCGCATCTTAAAACCCCTTCTCCCCCACTCAGGTGAGGATGATCTTTCACGCCTCTTCCATCTTTGTCGTCTCTTCTTAGAAATTCTGTGCTCCTCGCTCTTATACGCCACCTGACCTCGGATCCTCCACCCTCTCCTCTCCTCCACCCGCCCACCATGCGCAATCCAAAGCTTATTTCACTTCCACTGGTACTTGCCGGCGCAGTCGCCTGCCACGCCGCGCAGCCGTTCCTGACGCAGATCTCATCGAATTCCTGGGTGCTTGGCAACGACCTGTGGAACGCCACCATTGGCCCGACCTACGGCAAGCCCATCTACTTCAATAACAGGGAAATTGTAGGGGAAGCCGTCGGACATTATGCGGGATTCAGTTGAGAAGCCACCGCTCATCCTCGTCCCCACTCCAGGCCGCCGCCACTCCCCCCCTCCTTCCTCGCCTTTCGAGCACAAAAGACATATGGCTGACATTTTCCCGTTATCAATTCAACAAGACTCCGGAGGTGAGGTAGAGCTCGATAACCAGGCTGCCGATATCTTCGCGTCGGGCGATGACTTCATTGACGTGCGCTTCAACACGTCCTACGGCGAGTTCCACTGGGTCCTGTTTGACGGCCTCCCAGGCGCATACCAGTACTTTGTCAACAGCAACCTCCCCGTCTTGGGCATTTTCCGGTCTCTTGTGCGGCTGGACAACACCACGTTTGTGAACGGCCACACGGCAATCAAGGACGAGGCGCTGCCGCTCTACTCGTCCATCCTGGCCGGGACCAAGGTGCAGGACGAGACATGGCTAACGGCCGATGGGTCGTACATCACAAAGTACGACTGGAGCTCGTTCAACAAGGATCTTTCCTTCTATGGTGTCTATGGGAGCGGGTTTGGAAGCTGGTACATTCGGGCAGGACGCGACTACCTGAATGGCAACCATCTGAAGCAAGAGCTATTGGTATGTTCTTCCTCTCCCATCCTTCCTCCGCCTCTATTCTGCTCCTCTTAAGCCCACCATTCCTAAATATCATTGGACTCGTTCCGCTTTAGGTCCACCGCGAATCCGCGTCGGGTGACACGGTGCAGCTGAACGTGGTTCACGGTACGCACTTTCAGGCGTCGTCCTCGGACGTGCTGCCGGCCGGGAAGATCCTGGGGCCCTGGCTGTGGTATCTCAACAACGGGTCGGTGACGGACGCGTCACAGCGCGCGGTGCAGGAGGAGGCTGCCTGGCCGTACGAGTTTGTGACGGACACGGCGTACCAGCAGCGGGTGGCGCACGTGACGGGCAGCATTGTGTTGTCAGACGGCCGGCCGGCGGCAGGGGCAGCCGTGTTCTTGGGGGACGCGGACGCGAACGAGACCAGCTTGGACCAGGGACGCGGATTCTACTACACGACGTACGCCGACTCGGACGGCGCGTTCGAGTTCCAGCACGTGCGAGCTGGCACGTACGGCCTGGAGGCATGGGGCAACGGCGGGTCGCTCGCGGCAGTGACGACGAGGCTGCTGGTGGACGAGGTCGCGGTAACGGCGGGGGAGAACGAGGTGTCACTGGGGCAGCTGGAGTGGGCGCTGGCGGCGGGGCGGACGTTGGTGTTCCAGATTGGTGCGCTGGACCGCAAGACGACGGGCTTCCGCAATGGCGGCGCGCCATATCAGCATGCGCTAATCGCGCAGTCACCGGCAAACGTCACGTTTGTGGTGGGCTCGAGCTTGCCGGCGGACGACTGGTGGTTCGGGCAGTCGGCAATCGGGTCGTGGGACGTGGTGTTCGAGGTGACACCCGAGGACCTCGCGCTGAATAGGTCCGGCGTGTTGACGGCCAGTCTGGCGGGCTACTCCAAGGGAACCACAGGGTCGGTGTACATCAATCGGGCAGTAGTTGCGAACGCCACCGTGTCGAGACTGGGCTCACTGACGGATGGGCTGCCGTCGGACCCGTCGGCGTGCCGCTCGGCAACCACTGCTGGGGAGTGGCATCTCATCGAAATACTGGTGCCGACAGACTTGCTGGTGGAGGGGAACAACACCTTTAGCTTCGTGGTCGACACCTACACCCTCTGGCGCGGTTGGTTCTGGGATAGCATTTTGTTTGAGTGGGAGTGAGGCTGTTTATCGTTCTCGCTGTTACTCCCCAACCCCTCCACCCGAAACGCACAAGCCCTTTCTTGCGTGAACTTCTCCACTGTTTCTCTGCCTGCGCTCAGTCGCCCTTCTGTCTTTTCTAACCTGCCATCCGGATGTAGAATACGAAATGAGTCTCAAAAACCACAAAACATTTGTCGCGGAACGCAGGGGCGTATTCTGGTCCTTCGTGTACGCGTTTTTGTCGGCACGAGGATGCTCTGAGAATAAGCGGGAGAGCGGGCAAAACGGTGGCGTCGTAAGCAGGACAATTGGATGGCGCCACTGGAGATGACTCAGTGAGGGACCCAGCGAAGTTGCAGACACGAGTGAGCGAAAGGTTATCTTTAAGAGCATGTGTCAAGGGACCGTCCCCTGTAGCATGGCTCGCAGAGCCTAGAAAACAGCCACTGAAGCTTATAAGATGCACAGAGTTTATAACTCAAAGAGTGGGCAAATGACAGGGACAATCTAAGCCAGGACGGGGAGCAATGCGAAGCCATTGTGATAGCTTCTACATTAGAGATAGCGAGCCGGCGGACCATCAAGAAAGAACTGCAATTTAATGTTTTACTATACCATCCAAGACATGTTGATATTTAAGGGTTGTGTACTATTTTAAAATCCTTTTGGCGTCCACTTTTCACTTCCTCCACCATTTACCCACCCGATCCGCAATTTGAAGAGGAAAGGCCCTGACTTTTAGCCTCCTAGACATAGGATGTTCCACCTTGGTATACCGTGGATGGGTGCACTGTTCAGGTATACCGATTGGCCCACTTACAGAGAGGATGGCTTACGCTGCGCGGCGCGACGTCCACGCAGAGTTTAATTGGCTGATTTCCTGAAACGCACGCGCGTCGTAGTCCCCACCGTCCCGGCAGTCGATACCCCACTCGAACTCTTCGGCAGCGGCGCCCCACAGCCGGACTCCCACGAGCCTCGAGACCGGAACCAGCCGCTCCCACTCCGACCCGGGCTTTTGATACTCGAGCAGACTGAGCCGGAGCTCGATCAGGGACGGCCTCACCGCAGAGAGCTCTGCCGGCGGATACTCGTCCCGCGCCGCGTCCAGGGCCCATGCCAGAAAAGAGTACGTCCGATCCCGCCCTTCCTGCCCTCCTTCATCGTCAACATTGTCACCATTATTTTCGTCGTCGTCACAAACGGCGGCTATCACGGGACGATACGCCTCGGCGTCGTGGCCCTTGACGACAAGAAAGGCCTCGACGTCCTCAACCGAGGCCGCTGCCTCCTCCCACACTGACCAG